GGGTAACACGTTTAAGTAGTGTGCTCTAGAGGAAAATTTTGTCCGTTTTGATCTCTCTCTAACCGTTTAGGCACTAGGTCTTTTTTGACGAAAATAAGCTAAAATTGTCAAAGTGAACTATAGGTTGTAGAAAAAGGCCTAACAAGCAGGCCCGCCCTTCCGCCAAACGAAGTTGCCAGCTCCGCTTCGCTCCGCCGGCACCTCCGTTCGGCAGGGGCCGGGCCTGCTTGGCCTGCCGGCGGCGATGGTCGGGCCTGCGGCCCGACCATTTCTGTCACGCGATTTGCTGAAGAACATGATCGAATGATGTAGCGGGCCTTCGGCCCGCTTAAATCCGTCATCTTTGAGTTTGCCCCAAAGACTTGAGAAAGGGATGTAACGGTAAAGCACCGCGACTACAACCCACCCTTCTGCTTAGAAAACGTCTTTTGGGGGTGGGGGAAAGTTTCCTTTCTATTTTGCGGTTTTTAGGCCTTTTTCTATATCTCATTGTTCACTAAGGCAATTTTTAGCTTATTTTCGTCTAAATAGACCCTCTAGCGCGTAAACGGTTAGAGAGAGATCAAAACGGACAAAATTTTCCTCTAGAGCACACTACTTAAACGTGTTACCCCTTAGGAGAACATTAAAAAATACTTTTTGAGAATATTGGAACCTTGGATACCCCCAATCACACCCTTAGGGGTGGTTGGCAGGATTTGCCGTAGGCGTTTCGTTCTCTCGGAGTGGACCTTGTGATACCCTGAAAATTTCAAGTCTGTAGCACATCTCCTTCTAGTGGAACAGACAGACACACAGACACAAACGCGGTCGTTTGCATAAGCCCGCTGGATAGCATAGAGACAGATTGAAGACAACATGCAGCCTGCCACGAGACACCCGAAGGCCCGCTACATCATTCGATCATGTTGTTCAGCAAATCGCGTGAGAGAAATGGTCGGGCCGCACGCCCGACCATCGCCGCCGGCAGGCCAAGCAGGCCCGGCCCCTGCCGAACGGAGGTGCCGGCGGAGCGAAGCGGAGCTGGCAACTTCGTTTGGCGGAAGGGCGGGCCTGCTTGTTTCTCTACGGGTTATGCTGTTTGCTACAAGAACAACAAGCAGGCCCGCCCTTCCGCCAAACGAAATTGCCAGCTCCACTTCGCTGCGCCGGCAACTCCGTTCGGCAGGGGCCGGGCCTGCTTGGCCTGCCGGCGGCGATGGTCGGGCCTTCGGCCCGACCATTTCAGTCCCACGATTTACTGATATGCATAATCAAATAAATAATGTGACCGGTAAATCACTTATTGGCTGAGCGATTAGCGAAGCCTATTACTCCGTCTGGTCGGAAAAAACTTTTTCTGTCTGTCTGTC